CATCAAGCCCAATGAGAACTGTTCCAGTTTTCCCTTTAAGTATCTGGTCAATAATATGAATGGCCCTTCTGATATTATCGTTTGTTTGTCTGTTACCAATGAAGCCTGTTACATTAATGCCCACGCTGATAGAGGAGGCAGCGTGGGCATCAATGTACTTAACCTCTTAGCCAAAATCGCAGCAAATAGTTTATAGTCTATATTTAACACGCTAATAGGTCTATAACCTCTGGGGTCAGTTTTATCCTTCCCTGCTTTTGGTATGACAGAGATATACGCCTCCAGCCACGATGGTGGGAGCTCCCCCCCATTCAGAGTGTAATTAAAAGAGGCCTTTAATAGCGGGATTAAGGGTTCCCTCATCTACAAAAAACTCATGATGTGATATTATAGTATATAGTATATCGGAAATCTGTTCACTATTTTATTACCAATTATATCAGTAAGGAAGCTGACTAAATATTAACTGATAATTTATGGCAAAGGGGTGGGATTAAATAAGTGTTTACTTCTTCCCACTCCCTTTCAACATGTAAATTAACATTTTTTTTGTATGTAATTTGTATAGTATTTTTTTCTTTCTTATTTTCTTTTCTAAATCTACTTGTATATTGTTCACATGTTGAAATAAATTACCAATCAATCAATCAATCAAAAGTAAAGAAGTAATCAATCCTTGAGTACATATCATGTCTTGCTGAATAAAATGTAAATTTGCGTTTATTTTTGTGTAAATATCTCCATATATCTATAAGCCCCAACTCAGATAACATTGTTTTTACTTGCTTCTCTAATTTAGTTCCCCGCCGGTCTCGGCTAGTTGTAGCCCATTTTGGATGGAGAAGTAAATTGAAATCTCCTGCACATCTCCTTAAAGAACCCTGTACTACTACCAGGGGGTGCATATATATTACACAGCGTGACGTCTTCCTGTTCCGTTTTCCTTTTCACCAACACAAATCTTCCCTCTTTATCTGTATGTTCTCCAGTAAACTCAAAACCAACCTTGTTCGGTATCAGAATGGCCACTCCTCTTTTTTTCCCTGATCTATGTGAGGCATAATAAATATTTTTGAACCCCATTCTCTTCCACTTCTCAAGTTCTTCCTTTGATAGATGCGTTTCTTGTAGAAATGCAATATCAATTTGTTCCCTTTTTAGCTTTAAAACTTTCTTACTCCTCTTAATGGGATTCTTTATACCATTCAAAGACAGTACCTTATAATACCGCATATTAGGGCTGGGCTATATCATACCGTTCACGGTAATACCGGTGTAAT